TGGATTTGTGATTTGCAGTAGAGTTTTTCTCTCTCAAATATTACAAGAACACACACAATTTTTTTTTTTATATAAATACATACAAACCACACTCTGACATCCATACCAAAACACCTGACTGGGACATCCCTTTATAATATAATATAATATTATATAATATAATATAATCAACAATATATATTAAAAAAAAAACTATTTTCTTTTTAAAATATTTAGTTAAGATGACATTAAGAAAAGCCTTCCAATCTTAGCAGTTGGATCTTTGATCTTAGGTATTGACCTGACAATGGCCATGTGCTTGGCCCTAAAATTGTATTTTTGTTCCAAATAATATAATCAACAATATATATTAAAAAAAAAACTATTTTCTTTTTAAAATATTTAGTTAAGATGACATTAAGAAAAGCCTTCCAATCTTAGCAGTTGGATCTTTGATCTTAGGTATTGACCTGACAATGGCCATGTGCTTGGCCCTAAAATTGTATTTAAATTTGTTCCAAATGTGTTTCATACAGTTGGAGTCCAGTCTGTGGACGCCTATTGCTGGAGAGGACACATTTTTGGGTCACCCTCAGTACTGCATGGTGCGCCGTGAAAACCTTGAGTACTTCCCGAGGGGGCGGAGCTACTGGGATCGACATTTGCTGGGTGGATACTTGTCGTCGCGGCTTGTTTCCGACCAACTAGGCAAGACAGTGATGGAATCAATGAACTGGCCATCGCTGACCGGAACCCTGGAGTGCGAGGTGCGACCGGTGCTTGGGTCTCCTGAGCTCAAACTGGAAATTCAAGGGTTAACTCAAAGCAGTTATGACAGTGGAGAACGCTTCTATATAACAGTGTTGCCAACAGTGCGCCTTGGCGAGATGACGCTTACGGCGCAACGAGAGATCACTGGGTCATTCGACTACGTCTGGTACCAGAGCCTATACACTAGCGAAACGGCTAGACTAGCGGAGCTTGACAAAGCAGACTCGGGGGTCAGAAGAAAGTGCCTGAAAACACTAAAGGCGGTGTGCTGCAACTGCCCTTCACTACGCAAGCTCAACGGCAGCCATCTTGGCAACGTCATTCTACATATGAGTGAAAATGAAACAGATTGGACGGAATCAGCATTTGCTGATAGGTTCCTGCAGGCGATCACTGAGCTAATCGGATATTTGGAAACTGGAATCTTGCCTAGTTACTTCAAACCTAATGTGAATCTGTTTCAGGGTTTTACTGAGGACGACATTGATGAGATGGGCTTCATGCTGTACTGTGCTGTAACTGAACCTGAGATTCTACTGATCTGATTCACTCCCCCTCCTACTCCTTCTACGCACAGAATAGTACTTTTATCAAAACAACTCTCTATGGCAACTGGCATTAATGCACCTTTAAACAATGAATGTAAAATTACATATCATTTCTATAAGGTGTCTATTCATGGTCCCCTTATGTGTATTTCCACTTACCTACTCCTTGAAAGGGGATTTTGAAGTGACATTGGCTCCATTTAACTATGCATCACTTACCTAGACAGACACTCTGCTTGGATGTAGATTTTAAAGAAGTGAGAGAACGCTTTCATGGTTCAGACCATTTGTCTGTGACTTAAGATGGATTTTCTTTTGTTGATAACCTGTTCTGAGCTCTGCGTTGACCATGTTTTACTATTTAGCTTTTTGGAGCAATGGCAGTAATCACAGACAATGCAAAGCTGTGTTGACTTTGAAGAAGCAAATACTTAATAGACAATAAAGCTGTAATGCAATGCTTTTGTTGAGAATATTTTTAAATACTTTTTTTTTTTTTTTTTTGGTCAGTTATTCTTGCTTACAATGTAGCAAAATTACTGAGTGCGTTTGGGGAAAAATGTGCGTTGAGGGTTGTCTAAACCTTTATAAGTGTTGTTTTCCTACTTGCCCACATTCTAGCCTTTTGTCAGTACTAGCATAAATGGCTATGAAAAGACAGAAACAATTAAACTAAAAGTTATGTAAAAGCAGGTTTCCCTTTATACATCTTATTATAACTTGCAAACAAGTTTGGTTAAAAAATAAATAGCAGAAACAAAAATATTGGTAGGATCAAACTTCATGCCGATCCTACACTGCTGATAGGGTTACATCCCAGCAAACACAGAACGTTATGTTAGTTTTTGGTTCCCGTTTGAATATTTTATTTTTTTTATTTTTTTGAGAACCAAGAAAGGAATGTTCTTTTTAGGTTTTAATTTTTGCAACCATAAAATAATGTTCCCAGAAGGTTGCAGGGTGGTTATTATTTAATAACCTAAAAATAACTTATACAGAACGTTCTCCCTAATGGTTATTTTTAGGTTCTTATTTTGCAACCATATAATAACGTTCCCTGGACGTTGCAGGATGGGTATTTTTTATGACCTAAAAATAACTCATACAGAACATTCCCTAATGGTTATTTTTAGGTTATTTTAAAACCCTGTAAACTATCTTTCCAATGAAAACATTGCAGTTGTGTAATGACCTATGCAGAGCCCTGAAATTAGTTTAATACAGCATTTACTACAGAAATTAGATAAATCAAATGTGTTTTAAATTATAATATTAAGCCAGTGTTAAGTATAGAGTGATAACAGAAATCATTCATTTGTGGGTTTGTTTCATCTTTATTTACTGCACCTAACTGAAGAGAACATGATTTTTTGTTTTTGTTTATGGATCAAAAGAAGAATGTCCCGCTGTACAAACTGTACACTTCATTGGTAAGAAATTAATGTACTGATATCCTTCTTTAAGTCAAGTAATTATCTTAAACGAATTCATGTTTGCTACTGGGATGGTTGCCTAAATAAAGAGATTGTTCACAATTTTCACAGTTGTTTGTGGTGTTAGGACTACTTGTGCTTGTCATGTCAATTAGTATATGGATTACACAAATCATTCATTTGTGGGTTTGTTTCATCTTTATTTACTGCACCTAACTGAAGAGAACATGATTTTTTGTTTTTGTTTATGGATCAAAAGAAGAATGTCCCGCTGTACAAACTGTACACTTCATTGGTAAGAAATTAATGTACTGATATCCTTCTTTAAGTCAAGTAATTATCTTAAACGAATTCTTGTTTGCTACTGGGATGGTTGCCTAAATAAAGAGATTGTTCACAATTTTCACAGTTGTTTGTGGTGTTAGGCCTACTTGTGCTTGTCATGTCAATTAGTATATGGATTACATGCCTATTTATCATTTTTGTAGGCTAGGATAGTTCCTCTTTCCGTTTTTATCTTGTTGGTCTATGGTTTATGAGAGGTCAAATAAAAAAAGATATGGCAGAACTGCTGGGTGTAAACCAGTAGTTAACATGTAACTTTATAGAAATGCAATTAGTAATGTAAAAATAATTTGGCAGAAACAAAAATGAACTAAAAATGGGCTTCTAATAATCTTTTGGGTCTTTTCCATTTATGGAATGACCCAAAGAAAAGGGGATTTTTAATGTCAAAATAAAGTCAAAAATGAAAAGAAGCTTTACTTTATAGAGATCTTTATAGAGTTCCTGTTCTAAAAATATGTTATACTGTGACAGTGTTTTAGTTGTAGAATTTTACTAAGTGTTAGTAAAAAGATTGGCTGGTTAAACTCAAGTTTGTTTACTAAAATAAATATAGCCTATTGAATTTTTATCGGTGTGTTAAGGAAAATGGCAATATTATTGCCATTACCTGATTACTGTTGACATTTATGAGAGACCAAAAATGCAATAACGCTCGTGCGCATATCCCCTTTTTTCCACGCTTATTTTGAGGAATTGGTTTGAGGCGGAAACAAGTCGAGATTGAGCTGGTTATGATCACTCCCCCCCAACCAGAGGTGTCACATGGCTAGCTATGGCAAAAGCTGCTTCTGTTACTGCTCTCCGGAGAGCGCTTTAATGTTTGTTTACGTCTAAACATCGAGTTCAGCTTACTTGTAGAAAAGAGAAAACGAGTATTGGTTTAAATCGCTGTACCCTGCTGTAACAGCAAACACCGGAAAGTTCATTTATACGTATATTATTCTGAACTGACTACTCCGTTTTCATGACATTGCGTTTATGTCATGGTCTGTATGGTGCGTCAGACATATCATTTATAAATCGGTGTGAACTGGATAATTTCATGCTTGTTATGGTTTTTAAGTAGTTGTTATTCTCTTTTCATGCGTCGATAGATCACATTTTACTAGTCCTTGTAAATACGTAGTAAAACTAGACCTGTACTGGATCAAGTCAGCTATTTTGACAGCAACGTGAAGATGCCGGCTTCAGGGGTGTAAAGTATGTGAGTCATAAGTTTCGTTATTTAAGTATTATTTTGTGGAATTAGTACTAATAAAGCTTAAGTCTTGTACTCTTAATGACATTTTCACAAATAAAGAAATAAGCCTTTTTACAAGTGTACAAAGTACATAAGTTAAAAAAAAACAAAACTTGTTTTATTGTTTTTATAGTAGAGTAACAAACCAGTCAAATGGATGTCCTGCAGTTTTTATTTACATTTTATTTGAAACAGCCAGTGAAATCCATTTAGCTGGCCACATTGGTCCATCTGTCCTTGTGAAGAGATTTCAGCAGAGATTTTTTTTTATGTGAAAAATTGACAAATGTATCTTAAATGTAAATAGGGTAGATGACCAAATCTATAACTATAAACAATAAAATCAGATGCTGCTGAATGAATGAAGTTGAACAATTTAAGGTAATAGGATATAGGTTTCATTTGTGGCATCAACAGCCTTACTGAAGACATTGTGGAAATCATAATGTGGAAACATTTTGACAGTCCTTTAACTAATATAATTTCACAGTACTTCTTACACCCCTGTTCGGTTTGTTTGTTTAATACTTTTTACCACCATGATTAGCTCTCCAGACTTGGTGGCTTTCACTAAAGAAACATATTTCAGTGAAATAGCCAAAGACCCCTCAGCACTTCCTGAGGAACTGTCTGTTCCCATGTATCCCTACACTGGGGACACCACCCCATGGTCCACGATGTCTGGTGCTAATTTTAAGAAGGACTTTATCCTTTTATCAGAGTTTTCAGAGCAAGTTGGGCCGCAGCCTTTGCTTACAGTTCCTCCTGAAACCAAGGCTTGTGGAACGTTTGATTTGAACCACTTCTCCCTTCGGATCATGTCAGTGGACTATCAGACCTCGCTCACCAGCCTGGCAGGTTGCGGCTCTTTGAAACTGAACTTTGTAGAAGACTCAAAAGTAGTTTTAGGGGATTCTGGAGAAGGAGCATTTGCATATGTGCACCACCTTACGCTCTATGACTTGGAGGCTCGAGGGTTTGTGCGACCTCTCTGCCTTGCCTATGTGTCGTCTGATGAGAATAAAATTATACAGCAATTTCAGCAGCTTTCCGCAGAGTTCTCCAAAGTCTCTGAATATCTAAAAACAGGGAACAGGAAGAACTTTGCAAATGAACTGGAGATAAAACTGAGAGATTTGGAGTATACCAGAGTCATGTTACTTAGAGAAATAGAAAGAGAATTGAATAATGCATCTTTTTCAAGAAAGGCAGAAGTAGAGTGTGAAAAAGGGAATAGGTCATGTATTACACATGATAGAGATGAACGATTTGGAGAGCGAAGGAAGAGCAAGCAAGACAAAGGATCTTGCCCAATGCCATTGGCTAACAAAGGTGAGGAACTGGCCTGTGTAGAAAAATCCATTCAGGAATACAAAAGCCTTCTAAAACAGATCTCCTGCTACCCAACCAGGAAGCTTAGAGACTCTGAATACTCTCCTTATGAACCAGATGACCTCCCTCATTGTTTCGAGTTCGACCTGGATGATTTAAGGCATGGTCAGCTTGCTGGACCAATGCTAGAATATAATGTTTTTTCTTGCATAAACACACCCTCACATTCTCTGCAGCTGATTAACTCTACTTCATCTTGCCGATTTGACAAGCATCTTAAAACTCTCGAGGAGTTGTGTAATGACTACTTCCACCATCAGGCGCTACAGCAACTGTACTCCATTGAGAGGACATTCAGAGGAGATGCCTGCCATCTCTACTCACAACAACTCTGCCATAATCATCTTCGCAACCTCAAATCTACCAATTTCTTATTTGAGGATCCATGTGACTTGGAAGAGGAAGCGGGATTACAGATTGGAATAGCCGGTCAACATTCAGTCCGACAACCCTCATTTCTTCCTGCACCTTCAATTCTAAGTGAACCTGCCAGTCTCGAGTCATATGTCTCCTGTGTTGAAATGGTGCCAATCAAACTAGAGTTGGGTGGACCTAGTCAATTTCCAGCTGTACCCAGCTCTTTAAATACCCCTTCCGAGGATAACCTACGTCTTACATCCGACACCTCCTTAGTAGAGACTGAAATGGAAAATGGGGGGGTTGTTTCAACTTCGGATTGCCTAGAAAATGTGGAATATGTTTCAGCTTTGATGAAGACCAGTATTAGTAGTGGAGATAGTATTGAGGTCTTAGGGACAGAGAAGTCCTTCAGATCCCAGGGTTCAAATATACCATTGGATACAGCACTGCAAAGACCTCCACCTTTGTCCACTACAGCTGCACTGGAGGGTCTAAGGCAAGGAAGGGTACCTATCAGACGGACTTGCAGTGAAGACAGCATTGAGGTGCTTGGCACAACAGAATCCATCCTACCTGAAGAACTGCGTGCTTCATACCCTTGTGCAATTAATGAGGAAAGCCCAGATCAAGAGACTGCTGAGAAAGACATGTCTCAAAACCAAGAGGACAAACAAGTTGAGTGTGTTTACAGTGTGGGAAACAAAGTCCCTAAAGATCATGGAGAGGCCTGTATGGAGGAGCCACAAGATTTTTATCCTGCTGCCACCTTAACCCCACCTGATTGTCCTATGACTTTGACCTTGGGTGGGTCAAGCTCTCAAGATACTTGTCATGCATCAGAATTAATTCCTCTCTCGTTGTTAGATGAGCCCTGCCTGATAGTATCTGATGATTTCTCAGACTGCTTTAGCTATCGGAGCACCACTGCTTCTACAACCTCCGAATGCACTTTCTCTGCTTGTCTTCCCAGGAATAAAAGAGAAGGTGGGACCAGACGGAGACGTGGCAGAGTAGGACGAGCAGCATTGCAATTCTTGCGACAGTTTCCCTTTGCAGTCCATGCAGTGTTCAGCCTTCTGAGTGGCCGAACATTGGTAGTACTAGGCAGCGAGGAGGCTGCAGTGAGGCGACTGGTTACAGCACTGTCTGTGTACATGCCACATCTGAGTGGATAGAGAGACAGCATTCAACCTTGGACGTCAACGCCACTGCAGCTTACTGACCTGCTGAACTGGAAACTTATCGGCTTTAACAGGTAACATTTACTATGCATCTTAATCTTGTTTGACTGCCTGTTTTTAAAGGGAACCAAAATATCTTGATTAGCTCATACAAATGTATTGTTGGTAAGCTCTGCAGAAAGGTATCCGGTTAAGTCTGATGTTACATCACTGTTTCCGGTTCAAACCACTCCTTCAAATCACAAAAGCAAACAGTCCCCATTATTGGCTGTAATACTAATAAATCATGATCTTAACCTTTACTGCCATACCTGAAATCTTAGTCAGCCAGATAGTGATTTATCTTTTCTGAATCATTAAAATATTGGTGTCTGGAGACTGTAGTAAACCATGAGTTTTAGAAAACTTAAAAGGGATAGTTCACTCAAAAAATAAAATAATTAAAATTTAAGTTTTTTTTATATATTTACTCAGGATGTGCTGTTTGACTCGCACAAATTTGCATCACTGCCTGGGC